GCCCAGCCTGGAGCAGGATCCAGCGCACCCTCGGGCTGTTGGGGCTGCAGCGCTGCTCCTGCGGTTCCTGCCCGCGTTTGTTCCTGCACGAGTCTCAGCACCCGCCACAGCTCCCTGGGAATGCCAGTGGCATTCTCAAAGTTATTTCTTTCTCGTGGGAATAACATTGGGGAATGAGGGAATCAAGGTTTAGTATCGAGAGAAGCTGAGTACTTCAATCSTATTTGTTAATCAGTTAACACACTGGTCTTTAAGCAAGCCTTCGGAGTTTCCCGTCACTCCGATCTTCCACAGGTCGGCAACGGGGTGCGCTCTCTGCCGAGCGAGCGAGTCACCAGTGTCTGAAAAGTTACTTAAACTAAAAACCTCCCTATTACACCTAAAGTTTCATCAAGAACCAGTTTTAATAAAAGCGCTGCGATTTTTCAAGGTTTCTATCTTTAATCGCAGAAGAGAGAATGGATTTATTGCCGGTATTCCTGTACAGAATAAACTCCCTGTTAGCTATGCAGATGCTTCCCAATCTGCAACTGTAAGATTATCAAAGACCAAGAAGGTGTAATAAAGCTGCCCACAAGATCATGTAAAATAATTGAAATATTGTAACTGTGTAGTCTTGCCCATTTAACTGATGACRAGTATGCCAATATTGAAAATATTGGATGTGAGAACCACTATGACATTGATACATGTGATGGTATATGCATTTTGCTTTTTTAGAAAGTGATAAGTCCACCTTTCACTACAAATGGAAGTTTAACAGTGAAATGTACTGGTAAGTATTGTCTTTGGGATCAGACTTAAAAAAAGCCCAAAAGCAATTTGAGAAAAATCCCCATTTASAGAAAGCTGATGGATCTCTAATGAGAACCTATAATTTTAGTCTTTCTGTGCTTCAGGATTGTATTGGTTGCTCTTTCTTATCAAAATTTAAAGTTCTGAGATATCACCTTTTCATCACAGAGAATGGGCTAAAAAAACCTGCTTTTCTGCTCTATGAAGATTCATACCTTCAGATTCAGATTCATGTGCTGTGTATGCACTCACCATAAGATTACCAGGAATGCTGGCTACAATGGTCTGTCACAATGTTATTGTTCAGTGGGATGTGTGACTCAAAAGTGCAGTACATTGTGTATTACACAGTTGTGCATGCATCTATTCAAGCACGTGTACTTCCTCTAAACTATTACAGTGGAGTTTATTTTTATGTGGATCTTGCGCTTCCTTCCTGCACACGGTGGAAAAGCTTGAATCAAATGAAGAACAYTCTTACTACAAGTTCAGCTACTACTGAGCACACAACATGCAATCAATTCATGCATATTATACAGAGTATTTGATGTTTGCATATTTTGGAATTAATGTTGTATATAAGCAGTATATCTCACAGGTATCAGCAACTCTTCTGGCATGGATCAGCTGCTGGAAATGCATTGAACAGTGCATCCCCAACTGACACTTCTCTTCATTTGGAGACTTTTTATGCAAAAAGCCAAGGAATTATTTCACTATTGCACATGCATTTAATTACCATAATGCTTTCCTCTTTCAAATGCAAATACCCTAAATGGTACTTGATATGAATTTCCTGGTTTGCCTAACATGAGTATATAGCAATCTTAAGTTCAGTCCACTAGAAGAACAAATTACAGAGGAAAAAAATCTTTTTCAAACAGCACGCAAGTTCTGATGCTAAAAAGCAAGTTGGGATAATGCCAGTGAATGATTGCAGACACTGAAATCACAGACCTTGGACAAACTGGTCTCACAGCTCAGWTGCCCACTCCACCCCGGATGTCTGGGCCTTTGAACAGCCTGTTGTTCAGCTCCTGAACTAAACCACTGCTGGATTCGGAGTGATGAATGGGGAGTGTCACAGGAAAGGTTAAACCTAAACCTTGGCTGAAGTCGCCATACCTTGTACAACTCTCCTTCTTAGTCATCCTGCTGGAAGTCCCAGAGTGAATGACAGCCTTCCCCACCTACCACCACCACTGAGTGCCAAATGTCTCCATTTCAAGCTTAGCAATATGCCAAGGCATATATCAAAAGTTTGGGGGTCTGCAGCAGTGCTTTCTCAAGTGTTAGTAATGTAGGCAAGGCCACCAATGTAACAGCTAAGTATCTTAAAATCTAGTCTCTTCTATAAAAGACTTACATTAAGACATGGTAAAAAATCAGCACAGTAATATTCTTAGTAGAAAAAGTTCTATTCATAGGAGTCTGTAAGATATGGCTGTACTATCAAACCCACAGTAGATCTTATAAAGTATCATTTCCATGCCTGGATATGCTCTCCAAGAAAGTTTCCTCTTACAAGGAGGATAAAGTGTGTGTTTAAGACTATGTGAATATGGCMACGCAATATAAAATATCCCAGGTGTTAAGCTCTGGCTGGGAAGGATGTCTTGACTCTTCACATGTGAAACCTGCCCTTGCACATGTTCCCCAATGATTTMACCACAAGTGGCATTTGGCATAAAAGCAAGTCTAAGGAATTTTTCTGCATCATTCAGTGATTCTAATAAACCAGGTTTTCCCAAATGGTTGGGCACTGTGATCAGTTTACTCAAACTTAAAAYGAGCAAAGCAGTTTTCAATGAATCAATGTACATAATTACAAATTTATTATAATTTAATTCTCATGCRTTATAGGAAGTGAGTAATCACTACAGGAAGCTTCTGATTGGCAAATTTATTTATCCCTAAACTAATTATTATCAAAAAATCACTCTTTTCATTTTATGGACTAACAAAATTAATTTCTGTGCAAGCTGCTATGAAGAAAATGAGAAAGAGGCCTGTTAAAAATATTAACACCTGCATTAATCTGTATCCTCCTCTGGCACAYATGGTGAGGAAGTGAAATACTTAGAGCAAACATGAACCTCTGACACATAATGTTGATACATCTCTAAACAGCATTTTTATTTTTGAAGAATTCCACAGCTGTACTTTCAAAATCAAATCAATCGATCAATCATACTTTTTAAGTCATCTGTGAACATTAGCACTCAAGGGTAAGCTGAAAATATTTTATCAGAGGCATCTGCATAGACTTTCAGTTTGATAAATTCTTAGGATAAGGTAGTATCATTGTAGTCCATCCTTGCAGCCTGAATTGCTGAGCTATGCAGTAGAAAATACACTGAAAACCACAGTAACATTCCCAAGTTTAAAATACYCATTATAATCATTTCATACCCAGTCATTTCTCTGGCTGAAATGAGTCATGCAGATCTGTTCACCTGCAGCATGCTCCCCCTCTCCCCAAGGCCCAGCTCAGTGATCTCACACCATGAGTATTCCCAAGGACATCAGAGCTGTTTCTAACAAACTATTTCGACTTCTGGTAAGGCAGGTGCTGTTATCACCACCAGAAGCAATGAATTAAAGGCACACCTCAGTCCTGGATTCTCACATTTCCTGTTTGGGCCTATAAACGTGGCAAATTAGACACTGGCAGCTTTGGCTCTGATGTGCTGGCCAGGGAAGAGTTGGGTGGATTGAGGAACTGGAGTTCTTCCTGACCCTCCCTACACCCATTTCAGGAAATGTGCCTACCCCTGAGGTACTGCTCTAAGAAATCACACTGTCCCATGTGCTTAGTGAGGGCAGGCCAGCATAGTGCAGAAAAATCTTTCATGCACATAAGCATTGACACTGGGAATTCCTCAATTTACACAGTGAGTGCAATAAAGAGATAAGGCCCCCAAACAGGAAAGACTTTTACACACAAAGTTTTGTGTGTAAACAAGATGTCATGTAAGGCTACTGAACTCTTTAATGTGGATAGCTGGCAAGGGTTGGTCTATTATTTAAACATCTACAAATTCTCTTTTGTTTTTATTCCAGATTAATAGTTGCTGCAGATTTTAGAGGATATTTTGAATGGCATCCTCAGCACAGTAACAACATGCAGTTGCTAAAACCYCTAAAATAACACAACCCCCATTTATTTTTAACAGTGAAATCTATTCCCTCTTTTTCCTTTATACCCTCTCTTCACCTTTTACAGCTGCCTTAGAGGGGAAGTGAATAAGCTCATCAGTATTCAGGTATTGCTAACAGGGAGGTCACCTTCTTCTGTTAAGCAACTCTCCATTTCAAACATTAAAACCTTGCAATTAGTGATTTGACAAGGACACCAAAGTACATGACTGCTTTGCTCTGACTAAGGTGATGTTTTCTGAGTGTAATTCTACTTACAAAGCATGAGAGGAGTGATCCCTGCGAAGGGGTAAATTTTACCTCTCGTGTGTGCAAACRGTGAGATGCAAAGCAAGTGTCAGGAAGGTGGAAGCACAGGGGAGGATAAACAGGGATCACTAATCAGGCAGAGCAAGGTGGAAATAAAAATTGCTCAGGGTTAGGATAAAGCCTTTTAGAAATTAGGAAAGACTTGCTAATGAGGATTCTTTTAAAGGCACATTGTATCATGCTTGACTAAAAAAAGAGTAGAAAGACGAAGAGACATAGAACTARCAATTGTAATAGTGTGTAACAGTGTCTTTTTGATAAGATCAAATTCTTCCTTTCTCTGCTATCTTCTTTCTTCACAGTTCACCTTAGGGAGCAGAACTGAGAGGCAAAAGATTCGGAACCAAAAAAAAAAAATTCCCACAACCACTGTAGACATTTCCTGTACTGCTCTGAGTTTACTGTGTACACAGTAGGACACTGGTTCTGTTACTRTGTCAGCAGGTTCCAAACTCTGGTTTGTGAGACCATACAAAGGGGACCAAAGGGGAATAAAGGACCAGTGAAGGCTGGCTTTTGCTCACATAGAGACAGGGTAAGATTCAATTGCCTTTCTCTTCCTGAAATTCCTTGACTCCTCCACACTCCTGGGCACGTTTCACCTTCAGCAACAAAACCATACCCAAGATGATGTTTTACTAGACAACCCAACTTGCTGCAGCAATATGTGGGGAAAAACAGCATGGGATCATGTTGTCTAAAGTTACTTTGCACATCTTGGCTGTGTGAGCAACTAATACTTGGAAATACTTGTTTTTGGGTGGTTTTTTTCCTTGTAAGATATACACATGTTCACTACAGTACAAGTTGAAAACCAAATTGCTGGTAGATTTCTGTAAAGCTGAAAGCCTGGGGAAGATAAATCACCTCATGTTGTCCTCTTACTGAAGTCAACCTTTGTGACCATAGAGCTGGTAATCCAACACTCCTCTCTGGACCACTGAGCTGGAGCTTTCTGATTTTCTCTTATGTTTAAATTGGACAGCTCCTAGATGATTCCAAAATGYCATCTTGCTAGACTTCAGACCTGAAGCAAAGGTAAATAAAAACCTAATCTCCTTTGGTCTTGTTCTCTTTCATTCCCATCCAATTTGGTTAAAAATTGGTTTCTTACTTCATGGCTTAAACATCAGAGACTTAAGTGAACTGTATTAGTTTTGGATGTCTTTATGTGTCTTTTCAACGTGGTGAGATTTTAGTAAGTCCTTGACACAGAATAAAATGCAGGCAGTAGCTGATTAAATGTTTTATCTCTGTAAAAGCCGTGTAAATTTGCCACAATCTCATTGACATTTAACCCAATGCTTTTTCCCGAGTGCATTGCAAAAGGAGCTATRATATATCCAATTACTGATAATATGAAGCCTAATTTATCCTTGTCTTGCATCACTGGCTAAAGCATGTGTTGCACAGTGTTAGTACATCAGGGTGCCAGTGTTGTAACCCGTGTGCTACACTCTGCAAGTGATTACACTGCTGTGAGGCACTGAGTGGAACTCACCTCTTGTGTTCAGCATCCAAAACCTCTTATTTGATTTGGTGGTATTTAAGCATTTATCTTGTTCTAGCTCAGTTGACTTCTGAGAGAAGCTCAGAGGATTCACAGACAGAAATTGTACTTGAGGTCTGTGTCATCCAGACATACAGATCCTTGCGATTCTTGGAACATCTGATCTGTGTCAGTACTAAGTTCCTAATCTGAATAATGATTTAGGCAAAATTACTAGGTGCCTTTACTTAGAAAAAGGAGGGATGTGAACAGTTAGAAGCTTAGTGTTCATCTGGAACAAGTAACCCAATAGGATTGACAGTAAACAACTGCAAATAAGTCATGTTTTGTGCTGAATGGGTTTTAAGAATAGAACATTGCATTAATTTTTCCAGGACAATATACATGATCTCTTCCTCCATCAAAGTCTTGAAGTAAATTAACAAGGAAGGAGCTAAGAAGAAAGAAATTAAAAAGGAATTAAGAAGGCCTTGAAGGAAAGAATCGGCACCGAGAAATCACTGCAATTAGGAAATTGATAGGATTTATTTATAGAACAATGATCCATTGCCTTTTTTCATGTTTTATCTTCAACAGCTACTAAACACAGTGGAAGGGAAAGTTGCACTAGAAAGCTCAGGGGTAGAGCAACATAAAAAAATAATAACTTTGAAGCTGTGGTGAGGCAGAAAAAAAGTCAGATTGCATAAGAAAAGAGGCATGGAACACAACTTGCTTAAATGAATAAGGAGAATAACAGGAGAACAAGTAACAAGTAGAACCAGCTGAACAGTTTAAGATGGAAATGTAAGGTATGAACAGGCACATCTTTTGCAGGGAATGTCAAATTACTATATCAAATCCTGCTTAGGCCAAACAGCTGCACCCCAATGCATGTCCTAGCACCCCGATGGCAGAACAGCCTATGAAACTGATAGTAATTTAATCATGTAACTTGCTTCACATCACCACCATCATCAGCATTAATATGAAYAGCAACTTGCTGAACTGCTACAACTCTACAAATAGCTTTCAGGCTGGAAGACAGTAATTTAGAGGCACAACATCCAAATAGAAAGAAGCCGCTCAAATTATTTAAAGCCTTTGCCCTTGAACTAACTTCCCAAGTAGGACACAAAACAATATTATTGCAGAAATTATTGGAATTTTCATTGAAACTGAAGGCCCTCATTTCAAAACCAAGCAGCTGTGTTTAATGCCAATGACAATAACATGTTTGTAGATATCAGATCATTACTGTTCTTAACACTGCAACATTACTGGCTGGTCCAAAGAGATTATAATAGATTGAACAATGTCAATTATTGGTCAAATTCTGTTTATTATGTGAATATATGTTAACAGTAAGGCCTACAGTAAAATCCACTGAAATTCAAATGGGGGTTTTTAAACCTGAAGATTCGTTTTTGTAAACAATTTGATGTTCTGTCATTGACCATGAAAGATGATCCTAAAAACAATTTGTGACTCTGCTGTCAGCCACATCAGTCAGTTATCACTGAACTGCTGCCCTCCCTTTAAATGTTGCAGTATTCCAGTCACCTAACAGTGGCACTTTGAGAAGTCTATAAAGCAAATAGGGCATCTGAATTATATGGTATGCTAGAGTCAAGGCTGACTGTCAACAGAAAAGCAAGCTTTTCAARTTAGAAGGCTGATTCAGGTTTTGTTTCCTGCATTTAACTTTAGCCAGACAAGGATAGGGATGCTCCTAGYTTATATTTTTTAAGCAGAATAAGAATACAAGTAGACGGCTTATGAAAGCAGTAATGGCAGTGACTATAAAAGAGATACTATGTCTTTTTGAACTAATTTGAGAAAATAGATAAATGGAGTAAATCCAAAATCTGTGTTTGGTCTCCAACATAAACTGTCTCAGGGGATTCACTTCAATTCCCTGTGTTCAAGTCTTGATACGCAGTAGACACAAAGTCTTAAGAGAAAGCAGATGACTTGCAGCTTCTTTCATCTGCTGCCCATATTACTCCTCCYACCCTTAAATCACTATAAACTGTAAACTCAAATCTTTTAAGTCTTTAAGTTTAGACAAGAGCTTGGGTTGTCTTTGCTCCCCAGCTGCCCTCAACATCACCCTCAYATGTAGCATCTAGCCATAGCATCCAGGAAATCTGAGACCACCAAAAAAATCTAAGGAAGCTCCAAAAATTCCCAGTTACTTGACTTCGAGCCAAAAAATTTATCTCTAGCTCTCSTGAGGTACCAGTACAAAAGTATGTTCCCTGAGCTTTCATTTCTGTAACCAGGGATTTCTTTCCTAGTTTTTTATCCCTCACAGGAACTATTTTGCTGCCTGGGCAGTCAGCCAAAYATTGTAACTGCAGAACAAATCTTTCTTGATTTACTTCTACAGACCTTCATGAATATTCTTAGAAATGCCAAGCTGCTTTGTTAGCCTTTTGAATTATTAAAAGTTCTCAAGCTAATTCCTTGTTATTAATATTTTTACTTTGTTTTATGATTGCATCTGGCTGTGGATTATGCTTACAGGTACTGTCTTTTCTAGAARCTT